TATATATATATATATATATATATATATATATATATATATATATATATATATATATATATATATATATATATATATATATATATATATATATATATATATATATATATATATATATATATATATATATATATATATATATATATATATATATATATATATATATATATATATATATATATATATATATATATATATATATATATATATATATATATATATATATATATATATATATATATATATATATATATATATATATATATATATATATATATATATATATATATATATATATATATATATATATATATATATATATATATATATATATATATATATATTAGTTTAAGTCAGAATTATTAGCCCCTGGAGAGATTTTTTTTTCAACACATTTCTAGTCATAATAGTTTTAATAACTCATTTATAATAACTGATTTATTTAAGTTTGCCATGATTACAGTAAAATATATTTTGCAATATTTTTCAAGTCACTTCTATACAGCTTAAAGTGACATTTTAAGTCTTAGTTAGGTTAACTAGGCAGGTTAGGGTAATTAGCCAAGTTATTGTTTAACAATGGTTAGTTCTGTAGACTATTGAAAAAATATATAGCTTAAAGGGGCTAATAATTGACTAAAATGTGTTTAAAAAATTAAAACCTGCATTTATTTAAGCCAAAACAAACTTTTGTTAAATGAGAAAATTTCCATGCTCTGTTAAAACATAATTTGGAAAATTAAGAAAAAAAATATTCAAAGGGGGTTTAATAATTCTGACTTATAGACATATGTACACACTATAAGATACTGTAAAATAATAATAATAATAATACATAAAACCTTGGGGTATTTGTTCTATTGACACGATAAATAGACTTCAAATAATCAGATTCATGTTGTTTCTGTTTTCCTTTAATTTAACACAGTAACAAAAAAGAACAAAAAGGAAAACCCTACAAGTATAATTTTTTTCTTTTCCACAAAATACAAGTTTGTAAATTCCATGAAGGTGAGCAAATTAAATTTGAAAATAAAATAATTTAATTCTGCTTTCAAAACCTGACAAACACACCAACTAGATGAATGAGGGAAAACATTCTTAAAATGGATGCCACATCTCCCATTTATTATTTACTTCATAGACTTTTTTTTTTCCTTGCTATGAATGAATCTTAAACAATCCTAAATGACTGCACCACCACATTCCTTTTCTGTATAACAACTAAGCTGTAAATGATAACAGGCTGGTGTGGCACATGTCATATTGTACAGTGATAAAGATTATGCTAATTTTCTATGTTTGCACTCTACACAGGAAGGCATTTTTTAACCATAGCATGGCGAAAAAGATGGTTTTAGCGTAAACATTCATTACATATATACATCTGTACAATGTTCATCAAACAAAAAACAAAAAATAAAAATCAGTGCCAAAAAGCAAGCAGACACTACTGATCTGTGTGGGATTTAAGCTTCCTCTCCCACAGTTTTTGATGGTCTGAGAATCCCTGCTTTCCTTTGTTGAAGGAATTGGGGCCAGCTGATGTGGGCGTTTCTCTGAAAATCAAAATAAAATTGTCAACAGTGCTTTAAATAACAGTACCATAAATTAAATTTAAAACAAATTGCTCAATTCCAATTAAATCCAACCTGCCAATATTCTTCATCCTCATCTTTGCCTCAGGTGGCATTTCTTCAGGCTCGCTCTGAAACATTAAATGCAAAGCAAGGAAATGTCTATTTTAGATATTTGCATGATTTTACATATGCAAGAAACACAAAGGCAGCAGCTTAATCAAAGAATGACACATACATCATCGTCCTCATTAAAAACAGATGCAAGTCCAGATTTCTTGGGAGGTATGGCAGGGGGAGGCTCTTTAGGTTTCTAAAATAGGACAAGGAATAAAAATTTATTTTTAAAACGTTCAAATAATAATAAAAAAAAAAAACATTTTAATGTCACACACACACAAAAAAATGATACATATATACATACATTTGCTCCCAGCTTGATAGAGATGGCCATAGGTTTCTTTGCTGTCATGCTAAACCCTGACTTGATCATTTTAGGGGGAGCTGATGTGCTTTTGGACTCATCTTCTGGGTCGATCTCACGAGCAGGCCGCTTTCGCAGACTGTCTCCTGATGCCTTGCTGGAAGAGACAGTCTTAGTTTTCACACTGCTTCCCTTCTCTTCTGGTCCTGCTGGAGGCGAAACAACTTACCAAGGTGAGCGACTGATGCCTTGGAGACCAAAGGTGAGCTACAGTTACCTGAAAGATGAGGGATGCCAGGAGGACCTGCTCAGAGAGACGCTGTTGAGTCTAAAATCTAATCGATTAGTTTGATTCATTTTACTAAGTGTCTCAACTAACTGATACCTAGAGGCCTGTCACAATAATCAATATATCGTCTTATCATGCAATAGTTGGAGATGACCTCAATTTTTTGACATTGAAATATACATTTAAAATGTCACAAATAACATTAAAGCCATTTTACAATGGCAATAACATTCAACCTCACTGTTGTCAAAGTTTATAATTCAGACCCCCCAGTGGTTCATGATTCCATGATCGCTGAATCCAAAGCATAATCAACAAAAAGTCAAGATTTTTTTGCGATCCAGGAAAATTCGTAAACATATAATTGCACAAAAAAAAACATCCAATTCCAAACTATATAATCATATAACTATATACTAACTATATAATAAATTATATTTATTTGAATTAGCAATTTATTGTTTTTTGTGACTTGCTGATGTTGCATACCCAGCGCGCACGTGATGTATTCGAGTGTCTCTTCTCACCTGCGCTCTCACAATTCTAACATTACATGAGAGAGGTTTACATGTGAAGTCAATGCAAAGATTGGATTAGGGATCCTGTGGCGCAAAATCAGGCATTTTGTGTGTTTTCAACTCCGAATGAAATCTGAGAGAAAGTATGATTGTGGATAAAAATAAGAATTATACAACCTACCTTTGGTTTAATCCCTATCATTTTAAATCCCGTCTTGACAAGAGACCAAAATGACAAACTTTATTTTTGTGATTTGTGCACACCTAACATAGTAGGCTATATGGTAAATAATAATAATAATAATTTATTTATTTTGTTTAATTGCAGAATTGTCCGCAAACGTCTGGGAATTAACACTACAAAATCAGTCATTATCACAAAAAAAAAAAAAAAAAAATCACACAAGTAAATTGTAAGAAACTAGGGGGCTGATGATTGGACATTTACCTAATAGGACATTTATAATATAGGACCTTTTTAAGATCAAACTATAGAATCTAAATAATTTTAAGAATGAAAAGTATTAATGGCTATTTGCATTATTATTTTATGATAAAATGATGAGGGTTGTCTGCAAGTTTAATCAAGTCAAATTTAAGACTTTTTAAGACCATAATGAATGAAATTTTAGACTAATACAAGGCTAAACACTTAGGATGTTGTATACACTATTTTCAACATTATATATATATATATATATATATATATATATATATATATATATATATATATATATATATATATATATATATATATATATATATATATATATATATATAGATAGATATATAGAGATAGAGAGATATATATATATATATATATATATATATATATATATATATATAGATAAAGATCTATATATAAATATTTATATATATAAAAAAAAAAATATAAAAATATATAAATATATATATATATATATATATATATATATATATA